GAGTCTCGTGGCCTTGTATGTCGCTTGCGTCGGTCACTTTATGGTCTAAAGCAGTCTCCTCGATCCTGGTTTGGTAAGTTAAGCACGGTTATCCAGGATTTTGGCATGACTCGTAGTGAAGCTGATCACTCTGTGTTTTATTGCCACTCTACTTCAAGTCTATGTATTTATCTGGTAGTCTATGTTGATGATATTGTTATTACGAGCAATGATTAGGATGGTATTACTAATCTGAAGCAACATCTCTTCCAGCACTTTCAAACTAAGGATCTAGGCAGATTGAAGTACTTTCTAGGTATTGAGGTTGCTCAATCTAGCTCAGGTATTGTTATTTCTCAAAGGAAATATGTGTTAGACATTCTTGAGGAAACAGGGATGACAGGTTGTAGACCTGTTGACACACCGATGGATCCGAATTCTAAACTTCTGCCTGGACAAGGGGAGCCGCTTAGCGATCCTGCAAGCTATAGGCGGCTGGTTGGTAAATTAAATTATCTCACAGTGACTAGGCCCGACATTTCTTATCATGTGAGTGTTGTAAGTCAGTTTATGAATTCTCCCTGTGATAGTCATTGGGATGCAGTTGTCCGCATTATTCGGTATATAAAATCGGCTCCAGGTAAATGATTACTANTATCCGGTATATAAAATCGGCTCCAGGTAAAGGATTACTGTTTGAGGATCGAGGTCATGAGCAGATCGTTGGGTACTCGGATGCTGATTGGGCAGGATCACCTTCTGATATACGTTCTACGTATGGATATTATGTTTTAGTAGGAGGAAATTTGGTGTCCTGGAAAAGTAAGAAATAGAATGTAGTTGCTCGGTCTAGTGCAGAAGCAGAATACCGAGCAATGTCAATGGCAACATGTGAACTAGTCTGGACCAAACAATTGCTCAAGGAGTTGAAATTTGGTGAAATCAGTCGGATGGAACTTGTGTGCGATAATCAAGCTGCAGTTCATATTGCATCAAATCCGGTGTTTCAGGATAGAACTAAACACATTGAGATTGATTGTCACTTCGTCAGAGAAAAGATACTCTCAGGAGATATTACTACGAAGGTTGGGAGATCGAATGATCAACTTGCAGATATTTTCACCAAGTCCCTCACTAGTCCTCGCATTGATTATATATGTAACAAGCTCGGTACATATGATTTATATGCTCCGGCTTGAGGGGGAGTGTTAGAGATAGCTATGTAAATGTTAAAGATAGCTATGTAATTGTCCCATATTGGAATATGAGTAGTATCCCCTTTGTATAGAGTAGCTATAAATGGCACCTCTTGTATTGCATCACATACAATATCAATATATCATATTTTCTCCCGTGCCTTCTCACAATATCAATATTCTCGTCTTTCCTTGGGAACACCAGGAGGCCCAAAAAGGTTATCATGAAAGCCACCCGTCTGTGCTCATCCCATTTTTGACGGTTATTTTTACTGCATATCTTGATGTCCGTCTTGTTAAACCCTCCCACGTGGCCATACCTGTCGTATATGAAGCGCAAAGTGCAGAAGCCTTTTGCCAAATCTGGATTATGGACTGTCCTGGGTATCTTTAATGAGTCTAAAAACCGATGCACCGTGATGGCTCTTGGAGCAACCAGATATTTTCCTCTTAACAAAACCTCAGCATTTTCGATGTACCCGGCGATTTCCTCCAGAGTTGGGGTGAGCTCAAAATCTGAGAAGTGGAAGACATTGTGCGCCGGGTCCCAACAAGTGACCAACGCTCTTATAATATCACCCTGAGGCTTAATTTCCAATAAACCCGTAAGACTTTTCAGATATTTCGTGACTTCGTCTTGTCCTTCTTTGCCTAAATCATTCCACCATAGCCGCAACTCGAAAGAGATTTTAGTCATTATTGAGAAAGGTTCGTTTTGCATCGTGCTCATCCTGCACATTTATTAAAGTGATTTAAGCAAAAACAAAACTTTTATTTGACTCAGAACAAAATTAACTATTTCTTTCTTTTCAAATGTAAAATGAAAGACTCGGTTTTCGAACATGGCCTTTCAGCACTCCCAAGAACGAAGATTTTTAGGCTGTGAGAGTCAACCGGTCAAAAATCAAAATGACCAAAAATGGCCGTTTTTGCAAAGTCAACCTTCCGGCGTCCCTTTCGGGAACATTCGGCTATTTTTTGACAAAAACGGCATCACCTAACTTGTTTACGACGAAAATTAAAAATTTGATTTTTTTTGACTATTTTTGCAAAGGGGAGGTTGGACCCGATGAGGGTTGCCTACGTATCTCACGTCCTGTGAGAATCAAACCTACGTAGTTCGAGCCGAGAAACTAACTATATTTTGGAAACAAGACCCTTTTTCATTTTTCATGGCAAGACAAACTATTTTTCCCTTTCTATTTTTTTTGAAAACAAGACAAAATAACGACTTTTTTTTTTATTTTTCATTTTCGACAAACAATAAACAACCTATTTTTCCCAAACTAAAATAAAAATTCTTTTTTTTTCTTTTCCAATAAAAGACTCTTTTTCTATTTTTCTTTTGCTTTTAGTAAAACAGACTATTAAAAATAAAGCATTTTTCTTTTCCATTTTCTCAAAATTTCGGCAGAGTTTCGACAGTATTTGGTCATTGGTTTTTCTAAAATAATCAATTAACCCCCTAACTGTTATTTCTCTCTTTTCTCTTTTCCTCTTTTTCTCAATTTTCCAACATTCCCGAGATTCAAAAGCCGGTCAACATGCTGGTTCGAAACAAATATATGTACAGAACAAATAGGATGCATCAGGATGGTCTTTTCATTTCAGGTTGCTAGCCCTAGACGGACCCAACCCTTGTGTTGAGTCCCCTAAGTCAAATGCAGCATGATCCGGCATGAAGTCAAGTTATTCTAGGTTCAAAACCTGGGTATGTGTTCTAAACAGTGCACTTGAGCGGACAACTCGAGTCGAGGAGGGGGCAGCGTACCGGGGACCCGCGAGATCGTCCGGCTTTGCAACTTATCCGAGCCTCTTTTTTATTTCAGGGTATGACACTAACAGAATAGGGAGTCTCAACCACTAAGCACATCCCCGGAGGTGAAGAGAGAAGGGTGTCGACACAGTTTATATACAGTTCAAATGATATCAAAGTGGTAGTATTTAGCATATTCAGCACAAAACATGTAGGAAAATCAGATATAACCAAATACAACAATTTATCTAAGCTCGAATTCTGAACCCTGAACCAGAGATTCTGGGTTCGATCCCCAGTGGAGTTGCCAGAGCTGTCACACCTCCTTTTTCACTACACCCCGTAAGGGCATAAAGGAGTTTTTCCAATTAAAGGACAATCAGAAAGGGATTTATTATTATTATTCAGAGTCGCCACTTGGGAGATTAATGGTTTCCCAAGTCACCGGTTGTATCCCGAACCGAGGAAACGTATGACTCTGTTAACAGTCCGCAAACCAGAAATCTGAGTAAGGAATTCTGTTAACCCGGGAGAAGGTGTTAGGCATTCCCGGGTTCCGTGGTTCTAGCACGGTCGCTCAACTATTGTATTTGATTTTATCTGATTTTAATACATGCTAGCTTATGTGCCTTTTACTCGTAAACCGCTTTTATTGTTATTTTAAAAGAATTGCAACGTCGTGAGAACGCGTTTCGAACCACGTCGTAATCAATGCACCCGTGATTTTCAACATATTTCGACTCCGTTGAGATTTGGATTTGGGTCGCATCAATGCGCACCCGAGTTTAGGAATGTAGTTTTATTAAAGTCGTGCTTAAAGAGTCTAGCATATTATTATTTTGGGAAAATCGTGAAATTCGCTGAACGGCCCTTCCGAATTCTATGTATTCTTATTATAGCCATTTATTGAGGGCCCCGCAATTTATATGTTTTGTTTGGCGAGGCTCGTCCCGTCATTTTTATTTAAAGGTCAACCCTGAAGTGACTATGATTTTTTTTATTTATTTTGTCTCTAAAGAAATAAAGAAAAGAGTCCTAATTAGTTATTATTTAGCAAAACCAAAGCACGTCAATTATGTATTACCAAACTAATCACCCTTTGGGCATTGGGCCCAGACAGCCCATGCCGAGCTTCCCAAGCGGAGACTCCAATAACCCGGATTGGGCCTGAGATTAGCCCAAACTCACAGCTAACCAGGCCGTGTGGGAAGAGAGTTGAGGGATCGAATCCTCTGAGCCGGCAGACCTATCAATTTGCTCAGCCAATGCTGAACTTCTTACTAAAACCACAGTTGGTTACTCAAACCACTTATTGCAAGTAAAGTGTGAATTCTACAACTCCAGTTCTAATTGAAATTTACAACAATTTTTACGAACAGAATCATGCTTTCTTGTTTACTTCCTACTTATAAGCATGGTAACGACATGAAATACTCAAAGGCAGCTATATCCCTTTCCAGGGCAACCTAGCACGACTAGGACAAAATTTGCACATCATTATTTGATTACAGACTGAAAGCACGCAGCTACTAGAGGTCCATTTCATTACTTTCAAATAAA